AGAACTAGAACAGAACTAGAACAGAACTAGACAGAACTAGAACAGAACTAGAACAGAACTAGAACTAGAACAGAACTAGAACAGAACTAGAACAGAACTAGAACAGAACTAGAATTGAACTAGAATTGAACTAGAACAGAACTAGAACAGAACTAGAACAGAACTAGAACAGAACTAGAACAGAACTAGAACAGAACTAGAACAGAACTAGAACAGAACTAGAACAGAACAGAACTAGAACAAAACTAGAACAGAACTAGAACTAGAACAAAACTAGAACAGAACTAGAACAAAACTAGAACAGAACTAGAACAGAACTAGAACAGAACTAGAACAGAAACTTAGAACAGAACTAGAACAGAACTAGAAACAGAACTAGAACAGAACTAGAACAGAACTAGAACAGAACTAGAAACAGAACTAGAACAGAACTAGAACAGAACTAGAACAAAACTAGAACAGAACTAGAACAGAACTAGAACAGAACTAGAACAGAAGCTAGAGCAGAACTAGAACAGAACTAGAACAGAACTAGAACAGAACTAGAACAGAACTAGAACAGAACTAGAACAGAACTAGAACAGAACTAGAACAGAACTAGAACAGAACTAGAACAGAACAGAACAGAACTAGAACAGAACTAGAACAGAACTAGAACAGAACTAGAACAGAACTAGAAAGAACTAGAACAGAACTAGAAACAGAACTAGAACAGAACTAGAACAGAACTAGAACAGAACTAGAACAGAACTAGAACAGAACTAGAACAGAACTAGAACAGAACTAAACTAGAAACAGAACTAGAAAACAGAACTAGAACAGCAGAGCTAGACAGAACTAGACCAAAACTAGAACAGAACTAGAACAGAACTAGAACAGAACTAGACAGAACTAGAACAGAAACTAGAACAGAACTAGAACAGAACTAGAACAGAACTAGAAAAGAACTAGAAAAGAACTAGAACAGAACTAGAACAGAACTAGAACAGAACTAGAACAAAACTAGAACAGAGCTAGAACAGAACTAGAACTAGAACAGAACTAGAACAGAACTAGAACAGAACTAGAACAGAACTAGAACCGAACTAGAACAGAACTAGAACAGAACTAGAACAGAACTAGAAACAGAACTAGAACAGAACTAGAACAGAACTAGAACAGAACTAGAACAGAACTAGAACAGAACTAGAACAGAACTAGAACAAACTAGAACAGAACTAGAACAGAACTAGAACAGAACTAGAACAGAACTAGAGCAGAACTAGAACAGAACTAGAACAGAACTAGAACAGAACTAGAACAGAACTAGAACAGAACTAGAACAGAAACTAGAACAGAACTAGAACAGAACTAGAACAGAACTAGAACAGAACTAGAACAGAACAAGAACAGAACTAGAACAGATCTAGAACAGAACTAGAATTGAACTAGAACAATACTAGAACAGAACTAGAACAGAACTAGAACAGAACTAGAACAGAACTAGAACAGAACTAGAACAGAACTAAAACAGAACTAGAACAGAAATAGAACAGAAATAGAACAGAACTAGAACAGAACTAGAACAGAACTAGAACAGAACTAGAACAGAACTAGAACAGAACTAGAACAGAACTAGAACAGAACTAGAACAGAACTAGAACAGAACTAGAACAGAACTAGAACAGAACTAGAACAGAACTAGAACAGAACTAGGTCAGAATATAACTAGACCCTGTGGAATCTATATTTCTTCCCCCTTTAAGTGTTCCAGTTATCTTAAAATAAACACCTACCAATTAACTATTTTTCTCTTTAGTTTTTCATATTCTCTTTCACTAAAAGTTTTCTTAACTGTCCCTCGTATTTAATGAAGAGTTTTTTCAATTTAGTTTCTTTTATAAGCCTACTTTCAAGCATTTTCCCTTTTATACATATTTATAATTTAGTGTTGCTGTGTACTACAATTTTTGCAATTTCATGCTAAATTTTATGCTTGTTAATTTTTATTTATTTCTATAATATAAATTTATTTTTTCTAAATTTTTTTTATCCTCTTCTATACTCTTTCAGCATTATCGTATGCATCCTTTTTTCAATCTTATAATTTTCATAATTTTTCTCCTTTTTTATTAAATTTTTTTCGTATTTATTCAAGTCTTTTTTTGTTGAAGTATTCATTAATTAGCGTTGTATACTTGTTAAATAGAAAGTTTTTCATGATTTCATTTTATATGGATTCTTACAGTTTTCTATTTGTATACTGTAGCAATGAGTTTTTGTAAAATATTTTCATTGCTTATTCATTGCATTTATATTAAACGCTTAAATGAGAAAATTTTGTATCCACTTAAACCAACTACGGCATTTATTATTGTGAGATTTATATTTGAAATAAAAAAAGGAGGGAAACGTAAATATTTTTTGGTAACTTTACTATTACTAGCTGGTTATTAGAGTTTTAATGGTGGGGGAAAACACCGCCCACAACATATAAGTAGTTTATATAAAGGTGTGGTAGTGAGTAAAGGATGCCAGATGTTAGTTATATTTGTGGGTTTGAAAAATATGAACAGTTCAATCGTTTAACACTTTATTCTATATTAAAGTCTCAAAAAAATCGAGAATAGGATCTGAACTAGAACTAAACTAGAACTGGAACTAGAACAGAACTAGAACAGAACTAGAATTGAACTAGACAGAACTAGAATTGAACTAGAACAGAACTAGAAGAAACTAGAACAGAACTAGAACAGAACTAGAACAGAACTAGAAAGAACTAGAACAGAACTAGAACAGAACTAGAACAGAACTAGAACAGAACTAGAACAGAACTAGAACAGAACTAGAACAGAACTAGAACATAACTAGAACAGAACTAGAACAGAACTAGAACAGATCTAGAACAGAACTAGAACAGAACTAGAACAGAACTAGAACAGAACTAGAACAGAACTAGAACAGAACTAGAACAGAACTAGAACAGAACTAGAACAGAACTAGAACAGAACTAGAACAGAACTAGAACAAACTAGAACAGAACTACAGAACTAGAACAGAACTAGAACTAGAACAGAACTAGAACTAGAACAGCACTAGAACTAGAACAGCACTAGAACAGAACAGAACAGAACTAGAACAGAACTAGAACAGAACTAGAACAGAACTAGAACAGAACTAGAACAGAACTAGAACAGAACTAGAACAGAACTAGAACAGAACTAGAACAGAACTAGAACAGAACTAGAACAGAACTAGAACAGAACTAGAACAGAACTAGAACAGAACTAGAACAGAACTAGAACAGAACTAGAACCGAACTAGAACAGAACTAGAACAGAACTAGAACAGAACTAGAACAAGAACTAGAACAGAACTAGAACAGAACTAGAAACTAGAACAGCACTAGAACTAGAACAGCACTAGAACTAGAACAGCACTAGAACAGAACTAGAACAGAACTAGAACAGAACTAGAACAGAACTAGAACAGAACTAGAACAGAACTAGAACAGAACTAGAACAGAACTAGAACAGAACTAGAACAGAACTAGAACAGAACTAGAACAGAACTAGAACAGAACTAGAACAGAACTAGAACAGAACTAGAACAGAACTAGAACAGAACTAGAACAGAAACTAGAACAGAACTAGAACAGAACTAGAACAGAATAGAACAGAACTAGAACCGAACTAGAACAGAACTAGAACCGAACTGAACAGAAACTAGAACAGGACTAGAAACAGAACTGGAACAGAACTAGAATAGAACTAGACAGAACTAGAACAGAACTAGAACAGAACTTAGAACAGAACTAGAACAGAACTAGACAGAACTAGAACAGAACTAGAACAGAACTAGAACAGAACTAGAACAGAACTAGAAACAGAACTAGAACAGAACTAGAACAGAACTAGAACAGAACTAGCAAAGAACTAGCACAGAACTAGACCAGACTATAGACTAGACTATATAGACTACACTATAGACTACACTATAGACTAGACATTAGACTACACTACAGACTGGACTATAGACTACACTGTAGACGAGGCTATAGTCCAGAATGTGGACGAGATACTATAGACGAGACGATAGACTAGACTATAGTTTAAACTATAGATTAATTTACAGATTATTATCACCTGATTTAAGTAGTTATCATTTAACTGTTTTAAGTAACTTACAATTTAAATTATATAATTATCAATTAAAAACTTTTTTTGAGATAACTACATCTGGCATATCTTTTTTCTCTCTTCTCATTACAACGAAAATCTTCACTATCACTATTATCTTCAGACCTATTTCTTTCAACATTATTTTCAAATTGTTGCTTGTTTTCCAGTTGGCTAAATATTTCTTTTTTTTCGACTTCCATTTTGTTATGCTCCCTTACTACGTTTAACATGTACTTGAGCTCTGGTTGGAGTAGTTCCCCCACTAGTTAAACTTACGACTACTAATGCTGAAATACATATAACACAATTATTTTCCCTTTTACTCCTCTGTACTAGTACTGGTTTTTGAAGTACTCTTGTGCAAATTGTATAGAGTTTCAGTTTTTATATTTATTTAATATTTTTTGTTGATCTACTCCTTTCATACTCTGATAAGTGCGTAGGTAAAAATATGAATGGCTGGATTTTCGGTTTTATGATTTTTTTTTTTTTGCAGCACAGAAAATTTATTTTTGTTAACGGATGAAATAATTTTTTAATCGTAATATAACTTAAGTGGTGAGATTGTTATTTTGTGTTTAAAAAATATATGTTGCATGAAAATTCATTAAGAGTTTCAAAAAAAAATTCTAAATAAATGAAATCATAGAAGCTAACCTGCGAGAAATAAAGATTTCAAGTTTTTATTTCTTGCAGTTTCGACTGCTTTAAACCCAACCCCTTAACTTTTTAAGAAAAACTATAAAAATATTTAATTTTATTTTTTGTTTAAATTGTATTTCATTTTAATTTACTTAATTATTATATATGTATTACATTTATTTATTTGCTTAAGTTTAAAACTAAAAAATATTTTTAATTTTTATAAATATTGCACAGTTTTGGTGTTTTATTTCACCTAAAAATTACGAAATAATCTTATTTCTATTTACAAAATCCTATTTATTTTAATAAATATTCAACAAATATAATTATTTACGAACGCTCTTAAGTTAAATTATAAAACAACTTGGTATTACTTATTCTAAAAAAAAACTTTTACAACGGACAACCGTGCACGTAACTGACATTGCGAAATATGGCCGCTGCTGCTGCTGATGTTAGAAAATTACAGGGATTGGTAGCGTTGAAAGATGTTAAGCCGGGCGGGCAACAGCCCAAAGGGTTTCCTGAACCATTTTCCGCTACATATTCCTTTTTCATGGAAGCCTGATGGCGTAATTGTTCTAGGCGCAGTTGATTTTGACGTTTCCATTTGGTTCTAGTGGGCGGAAATGGGAAAACAGAGAAAAAATTAGTTAGACTATGATCTAGGTTATAGATTTGACTATGGACTAGAAATAAACTATAGACTAGACTATAGAAAACACTATAGAAAAGACTATAGACTATACAAAAGACTAGACTTTAGAATAGAATAGACTAGACTATAGGCAAGACTATATACAAACTAGAGACAGGATCATAGACTAGGCTATAAACTAGACTATAGACACGAATATAAACTAGACTATAGACTAGAATTAAACTAGAACTAAACTAGAACTGAACTAGAACTGAACTAGAACTGAACTAGAACTGAACTAGAACTGAACTAGAACTGAACTAGAACTGAACTAGAACTGAACTAGAACTGAACTAGAACTGAACTAGAACTGAACTAGAACTGAACTAGAACTGAACTAGAACTGAACTAGAACTGAACTAGAACTGAACTAGATCTGAACTAGAACTGAACTAGAACTGAACTAGAACTGAACTAGAACTGAACTAGAACTGAACTAGAACTGAAATAGAACTGAACTAGAACTGAACTAGAACTGAACTAGAACTGAACTAGAACTGAACTAGAACTGAACTAGAACTGAACTAGAACTGAACTAGAACTGAACTAGAACTGAACTAGAACTGAACTAGAACTGAACTAGAACTGAACTAGAACTGAACTAGAACTGAACTAGAACTGAACTAGAACTGAACTAGAACTGAACTAGAACTGAACTAGAACTGAACTAGAACTGAACTAGAACTGACTAGAACTGAACTAGAACTGAACTAGAACTGAACTAGAACTGAACTAGAACTGAACTAGAACTGAACTAAACTAGAACTGAACTAGAACTGAACTAGAACTGAACTAGAACTGAACTAGAACTGAACTAGAACTGAACTAGAACTGAACTAGAACTGAACTAGAACTGAACTAGAACTGAACTAGAACTGAACTAGAACTGAACTAGAACTGAACTAGAACTGAACTAGAACTGAACTAGAACTGAACTAGAACTGAACTAGAACTGAACTAGAACTGAACTAGAACTGAACTAGAACTGAACTAGAACTGAACTAGAACTGAACTAGAACTGAACTAGAACTGAACTAGAACTGACTAGAACTGAACTAGAACTGAACTAGAACTGAACTAGAACTGAACTAGAACTGAACTAGAACTGAACTAGAACTGAACTAGAACTGAACTAGAACTGAACTAGAACTGAACTAGAAAAAAGAACTGAACTAGAACTGAACTAGAACTGAACTAGAACTGAACTAGAACTGAACTAGAACTGAACTAGAACTGAACTAGAACTGAACTAGAACTGAACTAGAACTGAACTAGAACTGAACTAGAACTGAACTAGAACTGAACTAGAACTGAACTAGAACTGAACTAGAACTGAACTAGAACTGAACTAGAACTGAACTAGAACTGAACTAGAACTGAACTAGAACTGAACTAGAACTGAACTAGAACTGAACTAGAACTGAACTAGAACTGAACTAGAACTGAACTAGAACTGAACTAGAACTGAACTAGAACTGAACTAGAACTGAACTAGAACTGAACTAGAACTGAACTAGAACTGAACTAGAACTGAACTAGAACTGAACTAGAACTGAACTAGAACTGAACTAGAACTGAACTAGAACTGAACTAGAACTGAACTAGAACTGAACTAGAACTGAACTAGAACTGAACTAGAACTGAACTAGAACTGAACTAGAACTGAACTAGAACTGAACTAGAACTGAACTTGAACTAGCCTAGACCAGTGTTTTTTCTTTAGATTATTATTTCTATTACAATTATCTTTGCTGCGAATTACTTTTTTCACTTACCTCCGATTTTGATACCACGTTTTCACTTGTGTCTCCGACAAATTTAAAGTTTCTGCCACATCGCTTCTATCGGCCACACTCAGATACTTTTGACAACGAAATTTTCTCTCCAAATATGCCAACTGGGCATGTGTAAAAGCTGTCCGCCGACGTCTAGGTTTTCGACCGCTTTTCGGCAAACCCATTTTATGTTCTCCCAAAAATCCACCCCCATGTGTTTGAGGCAATTGGCTGCTTACGGAATGTTCATTATCATTAATAAAGTGGGAAGAGTCAAGACTAGATTCATTGTTGCTAAATAATAAATGACCATTGGATAACGTTTGACCATTATAATGACAATTTAAAGCTTCTGAATCGGGAGAGGAACGATCTTCTATATCAATATCTGAATTGTTGTCGGAAATGTCGGAGTCTGAAAGAAAAGTAAAATTAAATTTTAAGTAAAAAAAAATCTGATGCTTCACGTGTCAACGCTTAACCTCCTACCAAGACTTGATAACCAGAGTTTTTTAAAAATAACTTCTGTTTTATTGAAATTAATGTAGTTTAGTGAAAAGATTTGCATTTAACAACCCCTGTTAATATAATTATTTCCCTCATTACCAGACAATATCCATCAAATAACCATTAATGTTTTATTTTTTTTCTACGTTTCAAGTGGGCGTTCGTCTCTACAATAACTTTTCATAACTCTTCAAATGTGAACTCATCTTCGTCATCAACATGCTCATCATTTCGTGTTTTTAACCCTCTTCAGATACATTTAACAGTTAAAGCTTGTGGGTTTAAAAAATACACACGATTCCCATTTCCTTATAAAAACACCACATGCTTAAAATGGCGTATAAAAATAGTATTGAAATTGTAGATCTAATTGTTTTATTTTTATCCTGTTCTTATATCCTGTCTATATTATTTTTTTCGAATAATTTTTTTTTTTAATAAACTGCTTGTGTTCTTTTTGCAGACTTTTATTCGACGACCACAAAGGTCGATTTTTTTGTGGCCACAGAAGTCACAGCGTGAACGATTAAGTTCACGTGTTTTAGCAAAATTATTTTTAGTTTAAAATATTTAGAGCGTAATGAGGAGAAATATCCTCTATATTTCTTTATTGGTAGATTACAAACAGTTTGGATTCAAAGATTTGCGAAGATAAATATTTTGGGATCCACAATCTCAACATTTACTTATAAGTACAAGACAAAAAAACGACTTTCTTTAAGTCTGGACTATGTATATACTAGACTATAGACTATACTATAGACCAGACTATAAACTAGATTATAGACTAGAATATAGACTATAGACTAGAATATAGACTATAGACTAGCCTATAGACTAGACTATAGACTAGACTATAGACTAGACTAGACTATAGACTAGACTATAGACTAGACTATAGATTAGACTATAGACTAGACTAGACTATAGACTAGACTATAGACTAGACTATACACTAGACTATAGACTCGACTATAGACTAGACTATAGACTAGACTATAGACTAGACTATAGATTAGACTATAGACTAGTCTATTGACTAGACTATAGATTAGACTAAAGACTAGTCTATTGACTAGACTATAGATTAGACTATAGACTAGACTATAGACTAGACTAAAGACTAGACTATAGACTAGACTATAGACTAGACTATAGACTAGACTATAGACTAGACTATAGACTAGACTATAGACTAGACTATAGACTAGACTATAGACTAGACTATAGACTAGACTATAGACTAGACTATAGACTAGACTATAGACTATAGACTAGACTATAGACTAGACTATAGACTAGACTATTGACTAGACTATAGACTAGACTATAGACTAGACTATAGACTAGACTATAGATTAGACTATAGACTAGACTATATATTCGACTATAGACTAGACTATAGACTAGACTAGACTATAGACTAGACTATAGACTAGACTATAGACTAGACTATAGATTAGACTATAGACTAGACTATAGACTAGACTATAGACTAGACTATAGATTCGACTATAGACTAGACTATAGACTAGACTAGACTATAGACTAGACTATAGACTAGACTATAGACTAGACTATAGATTAGACTATAGACTAGACTATAGACTAGACTATATACTAGACTATAGACTAGACTATATACTAGACTATAGACTAGACTATAGACTAGACTATAGACTAGACTATAGACTAGACTATAGACTAGACTATAGACTAGACTATAGACTAGACTATAGACTGGACTATAGACTAGACTATAGACTAGACTATAGACTAGACTATAGACTAGACTATAGACTAGACTATAGATTAGACTAAAGACTAGACTATACACTAGACTATAGACTAGACTATAGACTAGACTATAGACTAAACTATAGACTAGACTATAGACTAGACTATAGACTAGACTATAGACTAGACTATAGACTAGACTAGACTATAGACTAGACTATAAACTAGACTATAGACTAGACTATAGACTAGACTATAGACTAGACTATAGACTAGACTATAGACTAGACTATAGACTAGGCTATAGACTAGACTATAGACTAGACTATAGACTAGACTATAGACTAGACTATAGACTAGACTATAGAGACTATAGACTAGACTATAGACTAGACTATAGACTAGACTATAGACTAGACTATAGACTAGACTATAGACTAGACTATAGACTAGACTATAGACTAGACTATAGACTAGACTATAGACTAGAAATAGACTAGACTATAGACTAGACTATAGACTAGACTATAGACTAGACTATAGACTAGACTATAGACTAGACTATAGACTAGACTATAGACTAGACTATAGACTAGACTATAGACTAGACTATAGACTAGACTATAGACTAGACTATAGACTAGACTATAGACTAGACTATAGACTAGACTATAGACTAGACTATAGACTAGACTATAGACTAGACTATAGACTAGACTATAGACTAGACTATAGACTAGACTATAGACTAGACTATAGACTAGACTATAGACTAGACTATAGACTAGACTATAGACTAGACTAGACTAGACTATAGACTAGACTATAGACTAGACTATAGACTAGACTAGACTAGACTATAGACTAGACTATAGACTAGACTAGACTATAGACTAGACTATAGACTAGACTATAGACTAGACTATAGACTAGACTATAGACTAGACTATAGACTAGACTATAGACTAGACTATAGACTAGACTATAGACTAGACTATAGACTAGACTATAGACTAGACTATAGACTAGACTATAGACTAGACTATAGACTAGACTATAGACTAGACTATAGACTAGACTATAGACTAGACTATAGACTAGACTATAGACTAGACTATAGACTAGACTATAGACTAGACTATAGACTAGACTATAGACTAGACTATAGACTAGACTATAGACTAGACTATAGACTAGACTATAGACTAGACTATAGACTAGACTATAGACTAGACTATAGACTAGACTATAGACTAGACTATAGACTAGACTATAGACTAGACTATAGACTAGACTATAGACTAGACTATAGACTAGACTATAGACTAGACTATAGACTAGACTATAGACTAGACTATAGACTAGACTATAGACTAGACTATAGACTAGACTATAGACTAGACTATAGACTAGACTATAGACTAGACTATAGACTAGACTATAGACTAGACTAGACTAGACTAGACTATAGACTATAGACTATAGACTATAGACTATAGACTATAGACTATAGACTATAGACTATAGACTATAGACTATAGACTATAGACTATAGACTATAGACTAGACTAGACTAGACTAGACTATAGACTAGACTAGACTATAGACTAGATTAGACTATAGACTAGACTAGACTATAGACTAGACTAGACTATAGACTAGACTAGACTATAGACTAGACTAGACTAGACTATAGACTAGACTAGACTATAGACTTGTAACGATTCACGCGTTGTGCCCTATCCTTTAGAAGACCTGTGCTACCTGTTATTCCGACCGTGCTCAGGGTTTGGGGTGGTGTTCTTGTCTCCATCAGGATAGGCTAAGAACCGCACATTCATTTAAAAAAGGTAGCTTTAAAATATTAACTAAACTAAAACCAAAAAAAAAAAAATAAAGAAAGTTTGAATTTAAAAATCTCGAGAAGATGGTGGCATTTCTTCTCATTCTAGACCCTCCCAACCTTACTATCTTTAAAAAAAAATCTGCAAGATAGCCCTATAATGATTCCCTATCTACATGTTTAACTAACCTTTCGTGGAATAAAATTTAATTTAGATTGTCATTATTAAAATCTAATAATTAAACAAATTTATTATTAAAATGCAAATTGTTTACAAACTTCATATTAAACATTAATAAAGATAATTGGCTAAGTATTGTTGTGTAATGTAATGGTTTGTTTTATTTTGAAGTATTCTAAATTGAAATATTCAACAATAAAAAAATTTAAGTTTATTTTCAAATGTTGTTAACATAAATCTTTAAGATATTATGTTAATAACATAAATGCTTTAACATAAAAAAAATATTCAATTTAGAACACTTATGTAGATAGAGAATTTAAATGAACACTATAGTAAACACAATTTAAAACTTACCAAACATAATCCAACGATGACAACAGGCCTGATGTGATGCTGAATTAGGGTTTATTATTTAATTTTGAATTTTAAATTATCATATTTTTATAGATTTTTAAATGTATTTATGTATGTATGTTAGTGTATATGTGTGGGTGTATAAAGTGTTAGTACAAGTTTTAAGTTAATTTAAATTATGATTAAGTTTAATTTTAGATAAAGTTAAGTTAATTAAATTGAAATTAAGTTAAAATTAAGTTAGATTATTATCAAAAATTAGATAAAATTTAAGAAAATTTAAGATTTTCGTTAAATTATTGTAATTTTAGAAAAGTTTAAGTATTTAAGATCTTAGGTTTAGATAATTTAATTAGATTTTATGTTAAATTATATATTTAAGTTTTTTTTTTTTTTTTGATAAAGATGATAGTTTTAGTAGCTTTAAGTTAAATTAGCTTTAGTTTAGCGTTTTATTAAACCAATTAGTTTTAGAGGCTTCTCAAAATTAGAATTAGATTTAATTTAAGTTTAGATTTAGCGTTTAATTAGGATGAAATAAGTTTTAGTGATTAAATTAGTTTAGATTTTAAGTTTAAGTAGGTTTTAGATAAGTTTTTCCTGATTTTAGTTTAGATAATTAGTTATATGTTAGTTTTAGTTTGATTCTTGTAGAATTTTAGAAAGATGCTGAGGATTTATCCATGCTTATTTTAAAAATTTCCAAAATTAAGTGTAAATTATCCCCAAATTTCTTCTATTTGATTGAGTAATAACTTGAAATGATGGAAAAATTGAGAAATTCTGAATTATCATAAGTAATTGGCCAATAAAATTTATATAATTGCTTGGTTAGTTCTTTATCTTTTGCAAATAATTTATTTGCCAATGCAATAATTCCGCTTTCACGAACCTGTATATATAATGTTCTTAATGGAAGTTTATTCATTATGTATTCAAAATTTTACCTGATTTTAATTCAATTCCCTTTTTTTTTATTTGCAAAAGAAATGATGATAATGTCCGTCTGTATTCAATTTTATATTCTTCAAAACGGAAATTGATTAATAATATTGTATTTCCGTATTGTTAAAAAAAAATTTTCAAATGAAAATTTTTGAAATACAAATTTTTCAATACATACAAAAGTTTTTACGAAAATTGTTGTTGGAAATTTTAAAGTATTTGAAACCCAATAAACAATTTGAAAACACATAGCCCTCACAAAACAGATACAGCTTAAGATATGCACAAGCAGATCGACAACTGGATCTGGAAAGGGCGATTTTGAAACTAAATGCTCTTGACCTCACAAAACAGATACAGCTTAAGATATGCCTAAGCATATCGATAACTGAATCTGAAAAGGGCAAAGTCAAACTAAAATTTGAAAAATGTAATAAGTCTTAAGTCCAGATGTCTTTTGCATGATATATTCCTGTACTGTTGCTGTCTATGTCTTGTAATTCGTAATTATACTGTCCTATTTTACGCAAAACTTTGGCTTGAATGCCCACTGGAGCAAGTTTTGAGTTAAAATTATTAATTTTTGAGCTTTGCGCAAAATTTCGTCTGATAACAGTCTGTCCGATAGTAAAGTCCTTTGTCCGAGAACGTAGGTTGTATGTCCCGCGTTTTTGTCGAAGGCCTTTTTAATCAACTCTCTAATTTTGTTCCGTATTAAAGTAAATTCGTCCTGTCGTTCGATTATTAAGTCACTGTCAGCCAAAAGATTAAGTCTTCTCAAAAGTTTATAGTCCTTACCGTGAGTCACCATAGTCTGTCCGAAAACTACTTGATATGGGGTCCTGCCAATGGATTGATGGATACTATTTCGAAGAGAACAATTTATGCTGTCAGTATATAGATCCCACTCCCGTTGGTCTTTTCGAATATATGAGCGTAAAGCTTCGTTAATGCATCGATTGACTCTTTCGCTTGCATTCGCTTGTGGGCTATATACTGCAGTCAATATGTGTTTAACACCGTATTTTTCTAGAAATTTCTCAAAATCTTTGCATTTAAATTGAGATCCATTGTCCGAAACTAAAGTCTCCGGTACCCCATAGCAGTT